AAAAGAGGGGAGGGGAAGGGAGCGGGAAGTACGGACACACAAGTCACAACTATCGACGTAACAGACTGAAGAGGGGCGAAAGCCCGAAACGCGTTTCTGTAAGAAGTAAATGTAGGTGATGGAATTATTTGCCAAGTGTCTATAAATGCACCAAGTCGTGACATAGAATCAGAAGAAACAAGATATAAACCTTCAAAGACTTTTCATTTTTGTAACTTTTTCCAAAGAACGGTCTATGTAGTCTTTATTGATGTTCATCTATCATTCATTCATTTTGTCACACTAGAATCTCTGGCCAGAAGAGAGCAAACTTTATTGATATTTTTGTCAGCAGTGCTTGTTGTTGGGCAGCCTGGTTTTGAGTGACCTTGGATATATGTTCTACCTTCACAAAACCATCAAAACTACTCCAAGATCTCTCATCTCGCCAGACTTGTTTCCATAGCTGGAAGGTTTGGCAGTTTTGCTAAGTTTGTTTGAACGGAGAGTTGGCACCTCATAGTGCCCTTGTCAGGATTACACCTTTCTGGCCCGGTGAACAGACACACAAGCTGTGATGATTTATTCTTATTCTGCCTTAGTTACGCGAGCAGTCGCATGTGTATGCAATTAGATTCCAGATGGAGGAGGTTGGCTTGACAGTGAGACGGAAGTGAATCACTCGGATACCAGTTAAACAAACAAATATCCATTTATTTGAGAAGAAGAAAAATACAAGCTATCTACAGTGAATAAACAATTAGTTATACACCATAAGTTGTTGAGAGAGAGAGAGAGAGAGAGAGCACATTTAGACTGCGATTTGATGTAAATACCTGGGTTTTTTGAAGGAGCCAGAGGTTGTATGCACAAGAGGGTTGTGTAGAATAGTTCTAAAAGATGACATCTTGTAGGTGGCTATTTCTGCATTGCAGAAGTAGATCTATTTGAGGGTGATGGATTTCAAGGTGTTCAATGTTACAGACAATAGTATAATCCATTCAGAGGCACATGATTACTATATCAGTGTAGGAACTTGTAACGACTAACTGATCTGGCCGTAGTAGTCATATTAAAACAGTAGAATGGGTACAACAGGTTAGAAGGTTGCAGGAAAGTGTCATTTTTTGACGTTAAGTACATACAGAAATTGATGCTTCCAGGTTATATCTATCAATTTCCATATGTGGAAGTTGATAGATATTGCTGCTGACAAATGATGCTATTGAAAACAATAGTATGTTCCTTTATTATTTTGATTTAGATATTGTCCAGTTCTCACATTTGAAAGAATATTTAACAGCTGCATTGCTTTATCGTGAGAATTTGATTTGGGAAAATGATTAATGCAAGACTGCTTGATAACAACACACTTATGCAATGTAAAATAAATTATGTATACAGCCAAACAATAATACTGGAAGGGTCTACATTTATATTCTGCCTGGCACGTATGCAGTTCAGTTACTTTTGAAATGGATGGTAAACTTCAGGAATATTAAATAGTAATACTTTAAAATATTTACCTTATCAGAGGTTAAATGATTTCAGGATATTTTTAGTGATTATTTTGGATACGTGTACTATAATCTCTGATGATATAAGGAAAGCACATCAAATAAAGATTGATAGATTTATGTTTAAAATATTTCTTGGAAAAATCAAAAACGGTTAAGAACTATTTTAAGATCAAATTCTTCACTCTTTTAGATGTAATTTGATTTTTAAATTCCAGAGGCGTAAGTTTCTTTATTTTATCTATTTATTATAATTCTTATTACTTTCATTGGTCTTCAATTATTTAAATAATTCTTATTTCTTTACTATAGCCTGCTCCAGCTCCTTATGATCATTCAGTGGATGAAAGAGAACATACTGTCGAACAATGGAAAGGTAATGTTTACGTCTCTCTCGATAGTTGTTTATGAAGGTCCGATATCGTAGTATAAGATAATAAAATAAAATGTTACCTTAAAAATCAAAACAATACATATTCTAGAATATAAAGACTAATTAATTTTATATATTTTATACGCTAGAACTCATATATCATGAAGTTCTTGAATATGAACAAACTCATAATACTGTTGGTCTGGGTATACCTCCAGATCGTTCGAGTCATCATAATTCTCAAACAGGTAAGAAATTTTGTCTTTAATTTACAAGTCAACAATATAAATTCTGACTATTACAGATCTATGAGTAGATCAGAAAGATTAAAAGTTGGAAAACAACTATTGGAATTTGATTTAATATGTAAGTTAAATAATAATCTGGTTGAATCTGGTTTTAATAATAGAGAATGTAAATATTAGCAAGTTTGCAAATTGTTTATTTATTCAATTATATTTTTTTAAATCCTAGAACGTAAAAAATTAGAATATGTTTTATATAAATAAATAATCTTTAGAAAGTATAAAATATCATTAAGTAATATTTAAGTAAGAAGACAATACTAAAATAAATATTTTCTAAATATAATTCAATCAGCAAAACATACATGTTGTTACAGATAAAGCTGGGATTAATTGGCTAATGTTAAAACTCGGTTAAAACAAGTAACAATCAATTAATTCTGAACTTTATTTACGTAACTTGCAGTTTATAATTATTTTAGATTTATTTACAAATTTAATTATATATTTATATATAAAAATATTTAGCTTAAAATCATCAATAAAAGAAAAAAAATTAAACAGTGGCACGGGGAATTTATGAATCGTCAATAAATGGATGAAGCGCCCTAGTAACGTTAGAACTTATTTTAGAATAAAATTAAGATAGTTTATGAATATCTTAAAATTGGAGCGATGACATCAGATCAGAAATCATGGTGAGAGTGGGAAATTGCTCCCCCATTCAGCACCCCACTCTCCAACCGTGACAAATGATCCGGTGCTGCTGGCAGCCTTTTTCTCAGATTGGCATCTCCGCTTGTGTGTATTACTAAAACTGTGCAAAGTGCAATAAGTCTACATTGATAAAGAAGTAAGGGTGCTGTGAGAAAAAAAATTACCAAGTTGGAGTGCCACTATCAGAAAAAGTTTGAAAAACACTGAACTTATACAAGAAAGGATTAGATTCCACTTCTGACATTAGTGTGAGGTTTTTTGCATATTTGCTTTTGCTTATTATCATGGTTTAGGCTGAGTGGAATAAGCATTGTCCACAAAGTGGCAAAAAGGTGTTGCATCAAATGAATCTGAATGGAGAGTGACTACTCTCAAAAGATTAATAATAAAGTTTGTTTATGAAGAGAACAAGGGCAGATATTTTATGATTACTGTTTCTTACGTCATGAGAGAGAATTGAATTAGTCGTAGGAACATTACCTTAAAGCAAATTTGTAGTAAATTCAATCAAAGGAGTCTGCCCTCTTAGGATGTTGAATAAATCCATCCTTTCTTGATGGTCATGCCTGATAATTTTTGTGCTAATTTTTCAGCACTTTCTTATTATTATCTTCTGGATTTTTCCACCTATAACCTGGATTGAAAACAGTAGGTTACTTTTAAGTTATAATACCTTGTCTGATTTGAAAATGCAGAGCAAGTCAATCTCTTCAACATGACTTGCTGATATCACATCATATTTTAGTAAATATTTGTTCTTTCCACAGGAGCCCGCCAATAGCAAAGTGGCTAAAACCAACAAACTAGCCATGTAAACTTTTTCAGATTTTTTTTGTGTGTAACACATAATTTTTTTTTGTTTTTGTAACACATATTTTTTGTGTGTAACATATATAGGACCAGTTTGCTGTAGGAAATCCTCCTAGGAGACACCTCTTTGACAGATGCCCCTTGTATTGCATTACCTTATCCCATCAACTTCTCAATACCTCCTACAAGAATACATTTATTGATATATAGTAAATTTAGTTCATAAGTGTAAACTCATATATACATCACAACCTTTCACTTTCTTTTTCTTTCTTGAAGAAGAAGAAAGTGGAGAACAAGAGATGCTAATTGACTTCACTCAGAGAGTATTGTCAGTTTCTTTCTTTTTTTTAATTCAAACTTTTTTGATGTCTTAAAAATAAATTATATTAAGATGTTTGAACTGAAAGAAAGCATAAATATTTATAAATAATTTTATTTTATTTTTGTTCAGCGGACGGTGCAATGGAAGATGGAGAAGATAGATTAGCTGATTCTTCAACTAATGGAATGGGCAATCCGTACAGTCGACGTAGATAGAAACAATAGTCCTCGTTAAATTTAAACCTTTAGAAATGTTTTTATTTGGTGATTTATGTTCGAAGAGACATTCTAAGCCTTCTTCTCAACCAGAAATCACTGTAGAAGACAAACCAGTTAGCAAAAAAAAAAAAAAAAAAAAAAAAAAAAAAAAAAAAAAAAAAAAAAAAAAAAAAAAAAAAAAAAAAAAAAAAAAAAAAAAAAAAAAAAAAAAAAAAAAAAAAAAAAAAAAAAAAAAAAAAAAAAAAAAAAAAAAAAAAAAAAAAAAAAAAAAAAAAAAAAAAAAAAAAAAAAAAAAAAAAAAAAAAAAAAAAAAAAAAAAAAAAAAAAAAAAAAAAAAAAAAAAAAAAAAAAAAAAAAAAAAAAAAAAAAAAAAAAAAAAAAAAAAAAAAAAAAAAAAAAAAAAAAAAAAAAAAAAAAAAAAAAAANATATATATATATATAATATATATTTTTTTTAAGCCGGAAAATCGTAATAATTTTAATTTGATGAGGTTTCGAACTGTTACGGTTACTGTAAGCACAGTAGTGGAAGGTGATACCTCCATTAATTTAATTTTATTTTACTCTGATATATATATGCGCTTTAGGGGGTTAGATGGACTGCAGGATTCAGTCTGACACATACACACACATACATATACATACACATACATACACACAACTACACATACACGTACATAAACACACACACTTACACACACGCAATATGTATGCATTGTGAGTTGTTGATCATGCAAACGTGTACAGAAAAAAAATCATTTTTTAAACGTTTTCTGTGTTTTTTAGCGATCAATCTGTTAACCAACCACAAACATAATTAAAGTTTTTTTTTTCCTACGGCCGTGTAGAGAGATAGAGAGGAGAAAGGTTTAGATCTTGTTGTGGCCATCGAGTGATGTCAGTTCTGCAGTCGTGTAAACGTTAGTGTGAATATATAAATGAAAATTTTACATACACTATGCAGGAATAAGTGATGAAAAAACGTATTGTTGTTTTTTACGGTTGGCAGCTGTGTCATCGGATGTATAAAAAAAAACAAAACAAAAAAAATCCAACCTTTTTGTTGTTATTCATTCTAGAATTTGTAGAATTGTTTGTGTTTTGAATTTTATTAATTAATTGTTGATGTGAAGTAGCGACGGGTAACAGCTGTCCACATCTAAACATCCGTCTTGTTATCGTATCGGGATTCCATCCGATTAGAACGTCCATAACAAACCTATCGATTTACCCGCATGAGTGGCGTGTAACAAGATTTACTATCGCAAATTCTAATTGATCGAGATCCATTCGGACGTGTTCTCACTTCTCGCGGCATGTGTTTCCATTGTTTGTTCCTTTATTTTAAATTCTGACCTGTTGTACATGCATTCATCGTTAATTGTAGATATATTTTAATTTTTTTTATATATTTAAATTTATAAAGGGTTTATATATGTACATTTTAATTGTGTATATTTGGTTGGCCGCGGGTGAGAACACGAACTCTCGTCACTTTTCTGTTTAAAAATCAAGTAGTAGAAAATGGTGGACAGACAGGGTATCAACCGGATGCACCATCTTTTATTTTGAATCCAACTTGTTGGTCCTATCTTCATATTTTGTTACTTAAATAAATAAATAAATGATAACGGTGCAATCTGGTGGGAATCCTTAAAATTGTCTGTCGTGGCTTGTAATTCTTACAATTAGATTTCTTATTTTTCAATAACTGTTAGAGGTCTTTTTAACTCTTCGTACTTTAGCTCCCCGTTATTAGTGTTTATCGAGTAGGATTTCTTCCTCCTACCCTAATAAATAAATAAATAAATAAATAAATAAGAAGTCATTTCATTAAAATCTTAAGATAAATATAAATGAAATGACCATATGGTATATACAGTAATACCGCAATATTCCCAGTAAAGTAGAAAATGTCTTATCATTGTGATTGTAAAACAGTGAATTTGACTTGGTTTTGTAACAATTTCTGGTAAAACATCCACCATTCAAATATTGAAATAAATGCACACTTAAAATTGTTATGTAGTGTGGAAGAATTTTTCTCTCCCATTTATTATTCACAGAGTGGCTACAAAGTCCCTACACCTAATTACTGTATGATTCCCATTCTCTTACAAGTTAACTGTATGCTTTCCATTCTCCACACACATTTTAGTTTTGACTCAGTTCCTCTCTCTGTACGTCATCATCCATATTAACAGTCAAAAGTTATTAAAACAGTTTTCAATAATGCTTTTGAATCCTTGAATCTCATTAGATGAGTATAGTAATTATCTCTTTCATAATGCTCCGAAGCAAACTGTCTTGTCTTAAATCTAAACTTTGAAGATGTCACGCCATATAGGTTCCACCAGATTTGTAATGGAGATATTCCGTAACTAGAAGATCCATAACACAAAATTCAACGCTAGTAATTTTCAAGGATTCAGTCGGTTATTTTATTATTTTATAAAACGTTTCTCATTAATACAGATTGAACTTCTCTAATCCGGCATTCTGTGGTCTGGCACATTTCAGATCAGCTGCCACTATTTTGTAGATCTGTTATGTCTATTTATTTGATTAAAAAAAAATTAAGAGGAAACCAAAGCATCAGAAGCCAAACTACATTGCAACAATGGTTGGTGAAAATCGGTAATAACTCATTTGAAAACTTATTCCAAGGTAGAAAATTCACTTTGTTGCATCTCTGTTATTACATAAAACAATAAAAACTGTGTTTTGAAGCATTAATAGTTGTATTATTTCCTGAAGCTTGGTTCTGCCTTCGATAATACTGCAATTAGTGTATGGAATAAACATACGTTTATATAGGGGTCTTAAAGATCAAGTTCTATAGTCCAGTAATTACCAGATTAAGAAGGTTCAACCTGTAATGATATTGACATAAAAAATGTAAAATGTAGAACAACTACCATTCAAAAAACAAAAGTTTAATAATTATATAATTTTTTTTTAATATATTTAACATCATTGTTAAGGTCAGATCTGACATTGAGAGTCTCGAAAAACATTGTCATGTAATAAACTGAATTATTGATAATTACTAGTGTTGTTTTATTGACAACAAAATAGTCACTCATCAACAAAGAACTACAGGCGACACACTGATTTTGTGACCACTCTGTACATTTAATTTTACAAAAATTTAAACTCTGAAACCTGTTAACAAGATATTTCAGTATTGAAATAATTTTTTAATTCTTTTCTAAATTTAAAAATATGCATGAAGTCAAAATTTCCTCTGACTTGTCTTGTATGTCTCATATTATTATACAGGATGTCTCAGTTAAATGTTTCAGAACTTCTGAGAGGGATAGGGTGCATCCCGACGACTCGGAATCATATAGCAATGCAGGGTCAGAAATGCTTTCTCGAAGAAGTGATGCACACAGAAACAGCTAACCTCTGGTGCAGGCTTGCAAAGAAATTATGGCTGGGAATACGCCTAATCGGATATCATTCCGTGCACAAGCGCTGTGCAGCTGACCCACTACAATCTGCAGGCCCGTACACCAAATGCATATCGGCTAACTCTGCATCCTTGTGCGAAATGACGATTCCCTGCAAGAACTCTCGGAACTTTTGCGTAACACCATATACTGCGTCATGAAAGCATTTCCTACCCCACATTGCTAAATGATTCCGAGTCGTCAGGGTGCACCCTACCCCTCTTAGAAGTTCTGAGATACCCTGTATATAAGACCTTCAAGAATTGAGATGTTAGGTGCACTCAATGAAATATGATCATCTCCATGTTATTAAAAATAGATATTAAACAAAGAAAACAATATATTGGTAAGTTAAAATTATTTCAATGCGTCGCTACGTAAATCATTAAAATTTTATTGCCAGCTGTATAAACCAGGGGTCCGAAACATGGGACACTCAAAATATTTGTGCTGTTCCTCGTGCCATCTTCCCCCGTAGAAGAAAAATATGGATTTTATAAGTCCAGATTTTTTCTATGGGGAGAATGAAAGATAGGTCACCGAATTACACATATCTTGGCGAAATATTTATCCAGATATCTATGCTCTATGGAGCCGGAGATAAAAAATAATGCAGCAAACCATTTTCTCATTGATGATTATCTGTTTGTGTATTGGAGTATTGATTTTCTGGAGTTAAAAATGATTGTATTAAGTGATGCTTACACTTACAAGTAATGTTGTATAAGAATACTACTCATGTGTAAACACTTTAAGGAAGATTAGTGTGAAAAAAATGTGTGGTGGTTTTAAAAACTTATAGATATGTAGCTCTAACTTATTGAAAGAGAACAAGGTTATGGAAAGTTCCTGTTGTAAAGCGAATATTATAGAAACTCAGTTTGGAAGCATGGCCAATTTCTTAAAGAAGTTAAAATGTATTTTTCATTCATATATGGCTCTTTGTAATTTGACTTGTATCAAAATGAAAAATTGGCTATTCTCGTGAGATGTATTGACTCCTGGCATAGACACTAATACACGATAATTATAAAGTTCTAATGAGATAAGTATCATTTTAATTGATGCATTTATATTATAATGTGTTATACAAAAAGCATGTCAATAAATCAATTGAAAAATTGGCAAACAATTCATAAATGTGGTATCGGCATATCTTTACCATCACCTGTCAAACTATTCTAAATTTTCTAACAAATGCAAGCTTTTTGGTATGCAAAGGTTGAGCATATTGTTTGAAATCAATTTTTCCCACAATTCTAGACTTTCCGTAAGCTTTTTGTTAAATAAATGGCTATTTGCAAAACTATTCTGTGATGATAATTAAAGTACACCTATTTAATGCTGTCTAGAGAGACTGGTGCAACTAACTCTTGTATGGTGGCATTTCTGTAAAAAAATTAGTACCAAAACTCAGTGCTGTGGTACTTTTTGCTATAAGCAACATCATTTTATTTGTACAAGATGTGCTATACAAAGATCTTAGTGATGAAGGGATACTGATCAGTGTTGTCCTTGTTCTGAAGGTGTAAAACCTAAATGCAATAAGTACTGTATTCAAGGCTGCTATAACAGATCATTGTGATGATTCTCACTTTTGGTGTGACACTCTCAGGCTGCCAAATTTGCAACATGTCCTTGGTAAATCACACTTAAGTGTTTCCATAATCAAAAATCACACTGATTAAGATCTAGATAAGGCGATAGGAAACCCAACTAAACACTCATCAGTCAAATGTCAAACGACTGTATGCAGCAGTGATGATATTCTGATATCTGGTGCTCCATTTTACACGAAAGTTCAAAGTAACATTTATCATTGGGACTAGCTTTGAAGTCCAAGGATAAATGTGGCTGCAAATCCACACTAAACTAACTAGGCAAGTACAGTGGAATTGCTGGAAAACATGGGGGGTTTTCTGAGGCCCAGATGTCAAAGTTTTGACTGTTCACTGTTCCACTGAGGTGAAAATGTGCCTCGTGGATCTTCCACGGCCATGACAAATCCACTTCCATTCTGGCACGAAAGGCCAATCAAAGATCAGTCTGGTTTTACTGCCTGCATCAATCAGCTCCTGGTTGTGGCTGATCTTATCAGATAACAATGCTTAGTATCTTCCATATTGTACTTTAGGATACATTCAACTTCCGTGATACTACTTGTATGTTACTAAACCTTAAACATTATTCATCGACTGTTCAACAATAGCGGTGATGAGTTCTACAATGACTTCTTACGTGATAAGTTTGCAACCTCAACTGGGTTGGATTCCCAGACAACCAGTCTCCTCAAATAATAATTTTCTTAGAGTTCATGGAGTATGTAAATTTACAATATCAAAGTTCAGTGCAGCTGAAGTGGCATTACAATGAATGTTCTAGCAAGACACCTTTGTAATTGATAAAATGCATTCAACATTTGTGGCCACTTATATTCAAAACTTGGCAGAAACTCGCACGCTTAAGCAAAGGAGGTTACTTTTTTCATTACTTGCGGTGTCAAAAATGCTATACTAGTAAGTTTTGGTCCCTTTTTTTTTATGGAAATGTCACCGTGCTAGATTTGGTTGCATTTGACTGCTTAATATTTATAGACAGCATTGAATATGGGTAGCACACACTACAATCACCTGGTACACTGCAATAGGGAGTGGAAAAGAAAGTCGCATTTTTGAGTTCTGCCGAAAACTCAAGCAAAGCCAAAAGTTATTTATTATACCATTAAAATACGGTTAAACCTGTCTATCTCGAATCTCATGGGAACAAAAAGAAATTCAGATATAGAAGTTTGTTTGCACACAATAATAAGTTTGATTGGAGGTACGGTATTTTATTAATACAACAGCAAACACAATACACATCTGTATTGGGTGTCAATAAAACATTTTTGACATACCATAACAAGAGTTTCAATAGTTACTGACGCCCGACTTTTTTTCATCGAATAAGATGCAAACCAAACTCGCAAAAGTTCTTGTGGATTACCCGCCGTTTTCATTATTTGGTGACAATAGTGGGGAAACCATGGTGAAAAGATTGAACCACGTTTCTTCCCTTTTTATCGCTAGATCGGATGCGAAATTCTGCGAGAATGGAACACACACCGGGTCTTTTCTATACGCCAGTATATTCTGTCCTATAGACGCAAAACTATAATAAAACCATCCAAGATGTTAAGAAACAGCTAGGATAGTTTTCATAAATTTATTATTTTCAAATATAGACACACGAAAGTATAGTAGGAGGCCTAGGTGAAAAGATTCAAACTTCCTTGCTCCGAGATTTCTGCTCTCTAACGAGATATAAAGCATAAAAATATAAGTACAGTAAGGTCACGTCACCTCCGAAATCTTGTCGCTAATCACTTCTTGCCTAATCCTCTCGAAATGAAGTACCACGTGACAAAAAACATGTTTAAAAAAACCCGCGATAAGTTGTTTTCCACGTGGAAATCGAACTCGGATCCAGCGGCAAACTAAACTTTACGGTCAATATTCAATCGCGCTTTGTAAATCTTTATATATAATATTAATTAAATACATCTGTATACATTTAATAAAACAATATAGTTTAAATCGATTGTGAATACAGTATTTTTAAATTATCAATTTTCTGAGAGCTGGCAGAGTGGTGTGGCGTTTCGACGCTATCTTCGCTCGGACGTAACGATTCTTCATTCACTCATTCGCTTACGTTAGTCACGTGTCTCACTATCCGTCGTCTGCCATATGGAAAGTTAATTTAGGATAAATTTTTGAATTTATTTATTCTATTCGCCACGTAATTGGACGATTAGATATGTTTTTCGTCACACAGAAGCGACGTCTGGAGAAAATCCGCTTATTGCCGCGAAAAATAATGACAATAAGTGATAACTGAACGTAAGTGAAAGATAAATATTATTAAATGTGAAATCTTTTAAATATTTTTTCCTGTTTTTAATAACGTATCATTAATTTTCTGTGTTACACGTTATAAGTTTAGTCCTTATATAACAGGAAGTAAACATATGGCCTTTAATTACGTCACATCCGTCTTTGGTGTATTATTTGAATTTAAATTATTACAATGTGTCATTGAGAAAAATGAAAGGTTTAATTACTTTATAAACTTTTATTTTTCTCGGATTTTTACATGTTTACGTTTATTTAACATTAACATTTATTTTTACATGAAAAAAACAATTAAAGCTTGTGTATTACATAATGAGAACAATACAAATTTCTTAAAATAACAACAAAAATCAGCTTTACTGTAGCTGAATAATGCTTTGAGCACCATTTTATGCAACCAACTTATCAAGAGAATTTGAATTAGAGGTTTTAAAATGTTATTCGGAGACTACGGTATAAATATACAGTTTATATAAGCAGCAATTATAAATAAAAGCATAACAAATCTTTCAATTGAAGACTATTGTAACGTTAGGACAATAAGATCGGCCGAGGTTGAGCCGGCTGGCTACGCACCTACCAGTATACCTCGACCGTCGGTTCTAACATCTGCCAGTTCGGGTATACTGGGCGAACACATCTGTTCAGACAGTCAACTTTACGGGTGGATCGGTAATCTGGCATGGACGAGAATTGAGGAACGACGTCCCGACTCAAACTAGTCTATCTGTGATAAATTTGGGGATTTACAATGGATTCGAATCTCGATTTCTTGCAGTGAACACCTCGCAATTTATCTGTATTAGATTTATTTTGATTTTAAATGTAAATTAACTTAGCCTAAGGAAGACCTTTTCAATAAGTTTGAAAATGTTCGCAATAAACAAATTTTGCTGGAATTTATGATCATTATTCTGATTAATATACTGAATATGTTTGCTTTTCTTTGTAGATAATTTAATTTCTATGCTTTTGATATTTTAAACACAAATTCTCTGATTCTTGATTTTTTTTTTTTGTTGTTGTTTATTTTAAAATATATATATATGATGCCCTTTTAGTAACCACACTTTTACATTTTTCTTTCAAAATATTATCATTAGTGTTTTTCTGTACCTTGTTTCTTGATAAGAACATAGCAAGGACAAACAATTATCAGACAGTATTGTCTGTTCATTGAAAGATGAAAAGACAATGACTCTGATGAAAGGGAAGTCCCCATTGTATTTGCTTTTTACTTCAGCTTCAATTAGCCCGTGGCATTCATGGTAGCTGAGAGTGACCCAATTAAATTTTTTTGTGCCAGTCACTAAACTTCTCATCTGAAAATATTGAATTTTTCTTGCTGAGCATGAGCAACTGCTGATATGGCATATTATTACATTCTGACTGAAAAAAGCCAGAATGTGCTAATATGCCATGGTCCTTTTATATTAGGATAGTTCTTTTATAGGATTTAAAAGCAAAAGTTACATAAAGATACTTTCATAACTTGTTCCTATATTGAAAAAAGTAATATTCATAAAATTTGGCTAAATTAAGGTAAAATTTAGAGGTTGTTACCAAAGTCTGAAACATTAAATTTTCTTTATTTTAAACAAAATACAAGATAATACAGTACTAAGAATTTAAAATTTACAGTTGGTTATTTGCATGACACAGTGTCACAAGATTGAACATAAAAATATACAATACAGTAATACCCCAAACTTATGCGATAGGTTGGACCGAGCAATGATTGCGTAAGTCGAATTCGCATAAGTCTGGGTATAATTTCGCAATTTGTGTAAAATCCAAGTGGGATGTATGTAAGCTAATAAATGTTCTCGTTAATCTTATCTCGTCTTTTGATTCGTTCACGGTTACAAGAAATCACCACATAGTCTCTCAAGTCTCTGTAGATATAACAAACACAGAAATAAATAACACAAAATAAATTGTAGCTATGTGTCAATTCCGCGCAATACGTCCGAACATGTGAGCTGAACAATAGTGTGAGGGGAGTGAGTAATCGAGAGTTGCGTGGCGCTCAAACAAAAGACAAATCGAAGAGATTTGAAAATCGCATAACTCCGGGTTTGCGTAAGTCGGGGTAGTGTAAGTCGAGGTATTACTGTACTCACACAGTGGAATAATAATTGTTATTGGCAAGCCTTCTCTGGATATCTCTTCTGATGATCACTGACATCCTGCAGAAGAAATTGGTTTTACTATTCATCCTGGTTATGCAATTGACTGTATTCCTTGATCAAGCCAACTCCATGTTCTGCTTTATCATTAATGCATTAGATGGACAAACGTCACTAAAACCTGATACATTATAAAACAACAAGCCAACCAATGTCGTATATCATCAGGCTAGATAACGGCTGTAATACTAATAAATTATGAAACAATTTAGTACTAGAGGGAGTCGTTAGGTGCCATCTCTTAATAAATTTAATAATTATAATTTTTAATTAAATAATTTAGAACTACTGGAAGAAGATGAGTTCAAACCGGAGGTTCGGGTAGCATAATTGGCAATGTATCTGCATGATAAGCAGGAGTTACAGGTTCGAGCCCCGCTCTGGGATGATTCTTTTCTTTCAAATTGTTTCATAATTTATTAGTATTATAGCCATTATGTAGCTCAATGTCATACAGCATTGGTTGGCTTGTAGCATTAGAAGGACTTGATGGACATTTCTGTGGCAATCAGAAGTTCATAATCAGAAGGCCATAGTTCAAGAATCAATTCTGTAATCTTGAGTCAAGATCAAGTATATTCAAAAGACCTCAGTGTTGGCTGAAACAATAAAATCCTGATTGACTGTCATTCATTTTGAGATGTTCTCATTATCTTCATTTTGGAGAGCTCAAATTATTTTGGCTTTTATATCTATTGTTATTCTTTTATGAAAGAGTAAAGGTGACCAACTCTTCACTGAGATATCATAGATAACCAGCAAGCTTCTTCAGAGCAATATTGGAAATTTTCAATCTTGTACTATTAGAGATTCTTCAAAGCCAAAGACTGCACTCTTTAGTTGTCTAAATTTGCTCACCCAAATTGTCCTGAATTTTTACTCTAGGGTTACAGATTGTTCCAGAATACCCAATATGGACTATTATAAAGCATGAGGTAACAACATTTTGCTCTTATCATTGTACTTGTGTATGATTTCTTTTTCAATAGTGAGTGATTCTATACTTAGCATTGACATGTTGCAGTTTTTCAGATTATGATAGCAACCCCTGATTATCATTCAAAACTAATCAAATTTTGCCAAAATTATGTTTTTTCATAATGGAACAGATTCTAAATGTGCCTGTTTTTTTAAAAAAAATTATATTATCCTGTGTTGTAATTTTAATTATCTAACTATTAATTATTATAAGTTAGAGTATAAGATGTATCCCCATTTTAGCACGTGGTAAAAAAAATATGGTATTACTTGCTAATAAAAAAATCCAGCAATGAGTTGCTTAACTTTCCCAGAAACATTTAAAACTCTGTGTATAGCACCATCTGTTGTTATATTTTATTATTAAAATCTTTTTATATTTTATAAAATGGCAAAAAGCTTAATTTTGAGGGTAGGGATGGTTTTTATAAAAAAACTATAAATGCTAATAATGAGTAAAATCGTCATTAATTCTGACCCTACTCGAGATACGACAGATGATCCCCCTTTATTTTCCCTTCCTGTCAACTTTTAACAACCAAAATTTAATAGCATCAATGCCCCCAATAAACAAACCTCCCTACAAAATTTCAGAAATTTTTGACAAAGTTAAGCTTCAAAGAAGGTAAAGAGATCATGCTTTGCAAACATATACATGCAGTAACATTCATATATATGGAAAACCCCCCAAATATTTTTGCATTTCTCAGCATTTCAAGGTGTCGCGAGCCCAAAATTGTAAAAATTATGGGGTCATTTTTTGACAAATCGCCATACTTTCACTCTGTTATATATAACAGAGCTGGGAAAGTAATGATTAAATAAAAATAAATGTTTTAATGCGAAAGTTTTGAATTTTATTAATATTTCATATTTTGCAAAATTATATTTCTAGAAAATTTTTTCGAAAATAATTATTTCTGAAATTTAAATATATTATTAATTTTATATCAGTTATAATATAAACGTTTACATCATTTTTAGGACAAAAAGTATGGCGAGTAAGACAAAATCAGAAGTTCCTTCCGTTAACTGGGAACGTTACGGATTAAGCAGCACTCCAACTAGCAGTGCAGTAGAACAATGGAAAACTGACGAAGATCAGTTTTTAAATAAAGAATATTCAGATAAATGGGAATTGTTTCATGAAGATCAGGTAATACATTTAGAAAACTTAATTTTATAATATCAAAATTTTAAGTTTTTATTTAGATAGATAGATGTCGTAAGCCAAATATTATTTTGAATTATATTGATTTATAAAATAGTATTGTGAGAAGCCGAGGGCCATAGGGTCTATCCCTGATGACCACTTAATCGGCAACAGTCTGCAAAGACTGCACACGTTGTTGTTTCAGAGGGCTTTTTATTGAGTGGCGAGGAGGTAAACAAGTCGACAGGTGTCCGTGTTTTGGAGTGACAGGAGACAGGTTTTTAACAAACAACAAAAAGAAAGTTTATTATACAGCTAAACCTATGATACATATAACTAAACCTAAGATTAGATGCAGTTAAATGAGGTTGCGTATACACCTCTATGGAGTGGATTGACAAAAGTTTCTAATCAGCTCGCATGCTGACCTAATGACCTAGCTCTGTCGCTACTTTTGCTAAGAGAGAGTTTACAAGAATCTATAGATACCTCAATATTCGATGGTCAAATTAGATGACGTTTATTCGATCGGAGAGAGACGAATTCGAAGAGGACTGGTGATTGTATGGCAGGTCTTCTTATCATTGACTTGCATGGGCCGGGACAGTCCGTTCATGGAGGTCCACTGAACTTAGCACCTAGTTGTCAATTACTCAGGCACTAATTAATCTATTCACCTTCCTTCGAACTTGTATGGGACAGCCATGCCCGGAACTTCGATGTTTCCACCTTTTATGCTTGGTTCCTGGGAAAATGATCATGTGATCTACTATCGACATGTCGAAAGTTCATTCCCAGGTGCGAGCATAGGTTTCTTCCGATAATGTTTACTAGCAGCTGTTCCTCTTTCACGATCAAATGTTTTCCTGTTTCCATCTTGTTGTCAAAATTTCTCTCCATTTGTTTAGAGAGAACATCATGTGATCCATTCTAGAGCAATAGTTTTTTTATAACAGTCGTGTTAAGAAATTAAATTACAAAGTCGTAATTTTGCGCAAAATTCTCCCATTCCTCCACTTAGGCTGTAGATAGGCCTGCGGGCTCACAGTATAATTGGATCTGCCAAATATTTTATCATAAGTATATTACCAAATTCCAAAAAATTAATCAATAAAATTGATCAGATGATAAACATTTTACGTTTATTGAGCATGTTTTAACATTAAGTAATTAAAAAAGATTGACACTGAAATGAATCTGGACAAAACTAGCATGTGGTGGTTGTGCAGATTACAACATGTATAGTTAATTACTTAATGAAGCTTGAAGACATGTACCAAGAGGAGAATCTGTCTAAACAAAGATTGATAAGTAGTCATTCAGCTTCTTGGAGCAGAAGCTCATCAGGTTGCAGAGATACTTAGATGAATGCAAGCTGTTTTTGGTACAATATGTACCAAAAACATGTGTGTTGAAGGTGACGATGGTGGATTGTATCCATGTTTTGCAATGGAATACACTTGGACAGATGGATTCATTCATTTGCAGTGGACATTCTGAACATTGGGTCTAGGTATACAATACTATTCTGATGAGTTAACCATTCAGTTGAAGTAAATTTTTGGTCACTATGCAATATCATTCTCTATGTTTTCCTATCTTGGACAGCCAGTATGTTCTTTGATGTCTTCTTGACCTACTAATCATGCCAAGCATTAATGTTAAGGGATATTAAATACTATATGTTATGTTGCCAATAGGTTCTGTATAACTGTGTGACAAGAAACAATGATTGCTGTGACACTGGAACAGTTATTGTATTATCTTATAGAGAATAATGCATTTCTCGTGAAAATTGTGGCAGGAGATAAGATGATATCAAATTTAATCTCCTGCCACAGGGAAAGCTGCAAACATGTAATGGATGCATGTTGGTTCATCATAACTAAAGAAATTCAAAGCACAACCATCTGCTAGGAAAGTAATGCTTACTGTGTTATTTGACATCAAAGACTATTAAGCAGTTAGGATTTGTGCTATCTGAAAATTATAAATGTACAGTATATACAGTACATATAAATTGACAAACTTTATCAAAATATTTACAAAATTTATTAAAATATATCTTTTATTATATCTAGATGATATAAGTTAGGGGTGGACAACCCACGGCCTGCATTAATATTTTTGCAGCTTGCATAGTATAAAATATGAATAAATATCAATTTTCCAGCTTAAGGAAGTATACAGCAAAAATTCAAACACTATTTTCTGCAACTTAGGTATGTGAGCAATTTTTCTTGCATTGAATTTAGTAAAAATTAAAACAAAATTGGCTAACAGACTTACATTGAAACTAATTTGAATCTAGCAGTGACTAATATTTAACCAAATATTTCAAATATACAGTGGGTGATTGGTTAACGAACATAAACCGTTTCAAGACTTTGTTCAATATCCGAATTGTTTGTTAACCGATTATCGATATACCATAGGTTTTAATGGGAATTTAATTAATTTGTTCTGGAGACTCCAAAAATAAAAAAATATATACTTTCTTACATTTATTCATATGTAATAATAAAAATACATACATACACAGTCTTGCGTTTTTATTAGTCATGTTTTTTCCGTTTGTGGGGTTAAAGAATCTGTCTAATGTCGAATTGCTTTTCTCTCTTCTTCAGGATTTTTCATAAGTAATTAATAGCATTGCAATTGTAGAAATTCCCAAGCCTCAATTTGGTTTGGATGCCATTCTAAGACCGTTGTTCTGACATCCTTTCACTTCTTCAAAGGATCTTTAATAGCAGATATCGGCATTAATCCTCTTTTTCAGAAGAAAACATATCTCGCCGAGTTTCTTGGTGTTCTTCATTCAAGAGTTCTTGGCGTTCTTCTGTCGTCAGATCCATTTCAAGTTCCATTATGAACTCTTCGATGTTCTTTATTTCTCAGATGTGATTTTTGTTACTCCTTTAGCTGCTTGAGTCTTCTTGATTATACAGTATTTTCTTAAATAAGATTGAACTGCGACTTACTGTAGACCTGTTCACACCATACTGCCCAGCAACATTAGGCATCTTCTGCCCAATCTCTACCTTTGCTATTATACTCTCACCTTTCAAAAAGAAAAACAGACGCAAAACTTAACGAGTGCCTACCCGACAGTCTCGCGAATACATAAAAGAATTGTTTTGTCAGAAAAATAAAAGGCTGGAATTACAAGGGAGAGTTTCAAAGTTCGGAGGAATACTATCCGATCGGTATATACC